TTTGGCAGCACATGAGAAGTACCTCAACGCCATCGTTGGAAAGTCTCTTCTGGGTGAACATTCGCATACCATTCTCAAATCACTTTTCGTTCTCTTTGAGCTTATATTACGGTTCAGGAGTCATGCAGATCGTTTGTACGAAGGAATTCACGAGCTGCAAATAAGGTGGGTTTTTCTCTTAACTCTATTCGAACATATTCCTTTGTATTAAGGTTAACATTTTGATCTATAATTTTGACCGTTATCCTTCAGAACGAAAGAATCAGGACGAGAAAGAAGCAAAACACAAGAATCATCAAGTTCATGGATCAGTGATGGCAGGAAGGCCGTAACACAACGTGCTGGAGAATTTCTTCAAAGCATGAGTCAAGATATGGACAATATCGCAAAGGAATACACATCATCGCTCGATTCGTTCTTGTCTCTTTTGCCTCTTCAACAATCTGTAGATCTCAAATTCCTCTTCTTCCGGCTTGACTTCACCGAGTTCTACAGCCGAAAGCATTCCAAAGGATAGGGAAGTTGAAAAATAGTGTTTGGTTTAGTTGAAAAAGCATTATTCCACAATAGCAAGAGAAGAAGAAGAAGACATGCTGTACTTTGACTAACCGCTGACTGCAGCATGAGCTTGTAGACCAGAACGTAGAGGATCTTTGCTTTGAATCTAGATGCGTGGAAGAATCCGTTTGTTAGTTGCTCATAGATTCCGATGGCTTGTTTGGGTTTGGGAGATTCTTGTGTTGGGAATTGGGGTAAGGTTTTGTGTGTTTGAGTTTGTGCCATCAGTTTGATAACTTGCAGCTTTAGTTGGTTTGTTTAATTTCTCCTTGTGGTGTTTTGAAAGCTCGCTGATTTGTTTTTGTGACTTGGTTGATATAACAAGGAATTAGTTGCTTGATAGTATTGCATTTTGATCTGTGGCCACGGCCTGAGAGATTCGAACTCTTAGCAGGCACACGCCTTAACCACTCGGCCAAAGCGACTGTTGTATTACAAGGACCAGATTTAACGTATTTAATTTCTAATGCCATCCTTTTAATGGAGGTCACAAAGGATGGCTTGTTACATGTAATTGTAAAATTATACTACTCTTTAGCAAAATCTCTTTGTTGATCAATTCTCAATGTCTAGTAAAAGCAACTGTACAAACAATTAAGGGAAGAATATTTGTTGATCAATTCTATAACTCGTTCAATAACAAGCCATCCGTTATGACCTCCAATCACTTCCTCTTCTTTTCCATATCTGATACCAAAATCCATCCGTTATGACCTCCAATCACTTCCTCTTCTTTTCCATATCTGATACCAAAATCCTTCTTTCGCATTGCTTCTCTGATTTTTGTTTCGAAATGTGAGTTGGTTTGCGTTCGATCACAAAGCAAATGGGCTTGGGAGGAATCAAGTAAAGAGATTGATGAACCTAATTTATCCAGTTCTATTGTAAATTTACGGCTATTTGAAACTTTATCTATAGATTAGTTGGATATATAATGTAATATTTTGATGCATCACTGCGTGTTTGTGCGTGGAGTTTGCACTCCCCTGTCAAAACCGGCTTCTCGAAGGCCAACAGGAGGATATGAATGCTCTGATCATATGTAAAACTCTATTTGCATTACTGCTTCCTTACTCAATGTTATTCAACGCTTTTATTACTTTCTGTGTGTTGTTTTTCTTGGGTCAGATCCATTCAAGGACAATATTTGGAGCGTCATTAAATTAAGATAATGACACATGTGTTATCACTTTCATGATCAAAATATTCACCAAAACAATTTTGGTCATAAAATGATTGATGTTGTTTTAAAGTTGTTGGCTAGGTTGCTGGTTATTCCTGGTTTTACTAAATTAGAATCATCGCTGGTTTAATTGGTCTTGTTGAATTTGGTTATTGAATTGATTTAAAGAATTATTGAATTTTTTCGTTGGTTATTGTTGGTTTTTGCTTGGTACTGAGA